ATTATGAGGCAATAATTTGGTTTAGGTTTATTAGATTACTATAATCATATAACATATTATCTGAATGTTTTATTAACTATGGTATGTAAAACCTGACAATTTTAATAAAATTTATGACAAATACACACTTTCTAGTCTTTATATTTTTTCTAACCTGTTCACTAAACACACTTTTCCAGCAGAAACTTCTAAAATTCTAAAATTAGGGACGCCTGGGTGGCTCAGTTGGTTGGACGGCTGCCTTCGGCTCAGGAGTCCCGGGATCGAGTCCCGCATCGGGCTCCCAGCTCCATGGGGAGTCTGCTTCTCCCTCTGACCTTCTCCTTGCTCGTGCTCTCTCTCACTGTCTCTCTCTCAAATAAATAAATAAAATCTTTAAAAATAAATAAAATTCTAAAATTAGTTTTCACTGCTAATCTTTAAAAAGGCAAAACGGGTAAGGAAATTCTAGATGAAAAGTTCAGTAAGCAGGCTTACTTACAATAGACCAGAATCTAAGAAACCCACAATAACTATGTCTCCAACTGCTAATCAGGCTCACTGTCACCTCAAGGTACTGTGTCCAACATACAACCTACCTCCTCTATCCTCTCCACAATATACTATCAACAAATATGCTTCACGTATACTGTGATACACCTCAACAAGACAGAAACAAAAACAAAGATTCTTCTTGACTTCCTTACTCTGGCATGACATCAAGGCATTTGTCATAGCGTTATTATTTTATCAGACACTTAGATGAAAAACCTCCAAATTCAGGTTCATATTAGCTCCTGCCTGGGTTATTTTAACAGACTCCCAATTTGTCTCCCCATTTCTATCTATCCACTCTTGAATCTGACAAAAATCAGCAGCTAGCCAGCTTAAATACCACTTTAATCATAAGACAACTTTGTGCAAGAATCTCAAAAGGACTTTTATCCTATGAGCAGTGGAAAGCAAACTATAATGGTATTCAAAGTCCTTATCTTCTGCTTCTGTTCAATGTGAACTCTTTCTGCAATCAGGCTGCTCTACCACCAGCTCCTATTGATGACCTGTTCAAGCTGACCTCTCACCCTCACTTCCCTGTTAATGCAAATTCATCCTCCCAGCCTGCTCAGCTGAAAAGCTACTGTGGTTTTCCATAACCAGTACAGCTGCAAATAAATTCTTTACCTGTAGAATTTCAACAACACTCACAAACTGACCCAATGATTAGGCACTAAATCATGTTGTCTCCTACTGTCAAGTAATTATATATCTATGATCTAATTTCATTAAGTAGAGCTAATCCCCTTATGGGGCCTTTATATTTGTTATGCTTCTCAGAGCCCCTGCCACACAGCTTGAAACCTGGTAAATGTTCATTTAATATGTGAACAATGAATGATCTGCCTCTTTAGTTTCTGTAAAGTCAAATATACCTATAATTTACAATGTTCCTCTAAGGCTTTTTTCTAAAAAATGAATTATTATTTTACGTACATTCATGTATCAGTGATGCCCAAGACCATCCCCAGGTTGAGGGATCCATTAGGAAGACTCATAGGACTCAGCATATAGTCGTATTCGTGTCTAAGATTTTTTTTTTTAATAATCTCTACATGGGGCTCAAACTCACAACCCCGAGATCAAGAGTTGCATGCTCCACCATCTTAGACAGCCAGGAGCCTCATGGCTAAGATTTATTACAGTGAAATGATACAAAGCAGAATCAGTAAAACCTACTAAAAGGTCCATGGACCAAAGTCATGGGAAACCAAGTAGAAGCTTCTAAGAGTCCTCTCCCAGTAGAGTCACCCAGAACTCAGTTTCTCCAGCACTGAATTACAGGAACACATATTGTCTACCAAGGAAGCTTATTTGGGGCCGGTCGTACAGGCACTCTCCCCCTGGAACAGACCAAAATCACATTGTTTGTAGTCTAGGCACAGTGAGACACTCAAAAGAGTTTTACATCAGTGTGGGGAACTGATTCTCAGATGCCAGCAAAAACAGTGTAAGCACGTCTTTCTAAGAAAAGTAGTCTTGGGCCTGCTATGTTAACCCTTTTCTATGTAGTTAATTTCATATTTTTAAGGGAGAAATGTTATAGTGTTAACCATATTTGATTTATAAGAGGCATATAAAGTGGTTTTTTTGGGGGGGGGTTGGCAACAAGTTTTTTTATCGTAAAGATTTAAGATTTAATTAATTTATTTATTTTAGAGAGGGAAGAGCAAAGTGCCAGGACAAGAAGAATCTACAGTGAGCATGGAGACAGATCAGGGCTTGATCTCAGGACACTGAGATCATGACTTGAGCCGAAATCAAGAATGGGACACAACTGACTGAGCCACCTGGGTGCCCCTTATATATTTTTTTTTAATTAAAATCTAGCATTTAATCAGAGATGCAATGCCTAGACTGGCATCCAAGAATTAAGTTATGCAATTTAAAAATAATTCACAACCTTAGGTGTTTCAATGTTTTTTTCTTGTAAAAATGAGATCTTTTTCAAACCAACACTCTTATAGTTGTCAGAATAAAGGAATTAAGTATCAATATCTTAAAGGAAGCAAACCCTCTTAGACGAGCTCTTTGTCTTCTCTTTAAATATTGATTAGATGTAGGCACCTGGATGACTCAGTCAGTTAAGTGTCTGCTTTCTACTCAGGTCATGGTCCCAGGGTCATTGGATCAAGTCCCACACTGGGCTCCTTGCTTTGTGCTGAGCCTGCCTCTCCCTCTGCCTGACACTCACCCTGCTTGTGTGTACTCTCGTGAACTCTCTCTCTCTCTCTCTGACAAATAAATCTTTTTTAAAATGTTGTCTGGGTGCTAGAGCACTGTGAGAGCTGTTTCCAGTACATCATCTTCCTAAAAATCCTCACAGCAACCCTATATGCCAGTGATGGTTTTTATTTTATGGATGGAAATTGAGAGGCTGAGCAATCCACCCAAGTTTATAATGGAGTTGGGATTCAGGTTCAGATTTGCCTCATTCTAAATCCTTGCTCTTAGCTTTATTTACACCAATTACCTCTAATTAACAAGGCACAGATTCCTTATCATGAGTCATTTCCTTCCAAACTGTAGGGATTTTTGTTTGTTTGGCTATATAGAGCACTATTCTTAACCTTAATGATTTTTATTAAGGCCACATTTTTGTTGGAAGAGAAAGGGGTAAATTGAACCCAGAAAACTGTTTTTTCCAACTCTTGCAAATTAGAAATCAAATTACACCCCTTGCTTATTAAAACTATTAGGAATCTCCCCATTCAGCACAACACATAATTTTCTCCTTCATCTGGCATCAATCTGTTTGAAATCAGGCAGACCTGTATCAAGATTTTGACATTTTACTTACCAGATCTGTAGGCCTTGGTTAAGTTGAGCCTTCTGAGTCTCAGTTTATTCATCCACAAAATGGGAATCCCTACCTTACAGGTTAGCTATCAGCATGAAATAAGGTAATACACTTAAAGGACCCAACCTACACGTATTTGCTTAATAAATGGCTGTGTGCAATACTGGAATAACTTGATTTGTGAGTAGCAAGCCAAATCAATAATCTGAGGGAGAAAGAGGTAAGTGAGAGGTACCCTGACCACCAGGTGTCACCACTGACCCAAAAGAGCTGGTCTAACAGCCCAAAGTGGCCAGGTGGGACCCGGAAAGAACAGGGTAAGACCCAGGGTAAGACAGTCATTTGCACCCACAGGACATTCAAGCATTGGTTTTGGCTTTTCCACACTTGAGGAGCTGGTACAATATTTGCTGTACCATTTTAAGTTACACTGTTCTCTCACCAGTGTGTTCAAAATGATTGTAGTGCAATTAATTAGCTGGATAACCACAAAAGATTTGGCAGCACAGTTTAATCTTAAAAAGTATCCTCGGGTAACTGTTTTTTTAATTCTGAGAGTCGATAACGCTTTATATATCCTTTGCTTTGGCCAACTAGCCATTTACATTTTCTGGCATCTATAGGCTTCAGCGTTGCCACCGCAGACAATTTTCTGACCTCAATTCTACAACCCATCGACCTTATGGGTTTACACTAATAGGGATGACAGGTAAAAAGAAAGAATATTTCTAGGATAAAAATAGTCTCTGAGTCGTAAATTTAGGCAAAATAAGCATTAACTGTCCATCTCTTCCCTTGATCTCAGAAACTTTAAAATTCATTTTTTTAAAAATTCCATAAATCTCCTATTTTCTTAAGGAAAACTAACCTAAGGGTAAATCTGTCAACTTGCCAAACAGACCTTAAGTGACTCAAACAACACTATCACCCTTGGCTTCATTCTGTAACCTGCCAATGACTCTCCCGGAGAGTGCCCAGGGCCTCATTTTAAAATGAGGGCAGAACTGGGCTCTCCTGGTTCTAAGTCCTTCACACTGAGAGCCACTAGTGGCAACCTCAAGACTGGTAATTCAGTGAGTGTTAGCGCGTAACTGGAGACGCAGCTCTCCTATCAGGCACAAACTGTTGTCTCGTCTGCCAGGGAACACTTGACTCAAGTCAAGCCTGATCGGGCCTACCGTGGTTGCATCCTAGGCTTCTGAGTCCCCGAGTTAAGCACCAAGAGAAAAGGAGTTAGGCTAAACACATGTTTCTGTGCAGGGCCAGGGCTCTTGAAACTCAAGCAGTTTGGATTCTTTTTGGTTTTAACAATTCGACTTCCACTTTGCATTTCGCAAATATGAAGATATCTTAAGAGAAACCAGAAGTATTCTCTCCCTTCTGGCCATGGCTCCCATTCCTAGAGCACTGAGGAGGGAAAGCGCAGATAACCAGGAACCATCTGGAATCAGGAGACCAGGAGCCGAGCCAAGCCCAGCCGAGATGGACCCATTTGCGAAGCACTTTGTGCAGATCAATGAACTGCTGATTTCAGACCGGTCTCTAGAGAAAGAGCAGCTCTAGAGAAAGAGAAGAGAGCAAATGGGCCAAGGAACGACAAGGGGCGCATCGAAGAAACCCCTGCGGGGCGGGCGCAGCGGCTCGCGGGGCGCGGAGGGCGCGTTACCTGGGGGACTCTGCGGTGAAGCTGCCGCCGTCCAGCAGCCGCATCTTACAGAAGAGGACCCCATTGACGAAGGGCACCGAGGAGAGCTCTTCCAGCTCGAAGTCCACCTTAAACTTAAACTTCTTCTTCTTCATCATCATGAGCGCCAGACGCCGGCGAGCGGGATGCGGGGGCGGCCCCAAGGGGCGCGCGGGCCGGCGCCGCCGCCTCAGCTCGCCGGAGCCCCGAGCCCGCGCAGCCCCATGGCCGGGGCCGCGAGCTGCGCGCGGGGGCGCGGCCGGAGGGCGCCGCGGGCCGGCCGGAGCCGGGGCAGGGGCCGCAGCCGCCGCCTCTCGCGGCAGCCCTGGCCGGAGCGCGGCGGCGCGGACCCTGCCCGCCCGCGGGGAGCGGTCGTGCTGCAGCTCGCCTGGGCAGTGGGTGACCTTTCGGTGTGCAGCTGGCCGCCGCCGCCGCCGCCGCCCGTCTGAGAGCTGGGAAAGGCGAAGACTGGAAGACCGCCGCTGCCGCCGCCGCCTCAGAGCCACGGGGCCCAAGGCGCCCCCAGTGGTGGCGCCCAGCACCGCACCGCGGGGCGGAAGCGAGAGGGCGGGCGAGGAAATTCGGGGCGGGCGGGCGCTTCGCCGGGAAACTGACCCGCGACGGCAGTTAGAGCGTCACGCCTCTCTGGGGTTAAAAAAAGACAAACCCAACCAAAAAGGAGCTTCCTTCTACAGCTTCCTCTCGGCCTGGTTTCAGTTTTTGCTCCGCCTCCTGTTTCCCCTCCCCCTCGAGATTTTTTTTTTTTCTCTTGGGTTTGAGAGTCATGGGTTAATAGGGCTAATCAGAATCTCCACGACGTTGTTTTCGTCAAATTGAAATCTTAAAACTAAAATATGGTTTAGATACTCTAAATTCACAAGGCTTCTAATATAAAATGAGGATGAGGTAGGAAAAAGGAAAGGGATTAAAATGTGTTGAGGGTCTGCCAGGTGGCCAGGCACTGCACTGCTTTAGGCATTTTCTCTTATTTATACTTTAATTCCTGTCCCCCAGGATAAAAGAGTACAGGAGGAGTAAAAACGATACCTTACCTTTTTAAAATACGGCCGTCCATAACGGAGAACTGAAAAGCCTGAAAATAAAATCTCCCTAAGATGCAGAGCAATTACCTTCCTTCCATAGGCTTGTGTATGTTGTTTCAATATAGGTTGCCCACTTGGTTACATAAAGTTAGTTTTTTTCAGACTGAGTTATTGCCCTTTTAACTCAAGATTGCCACTAATCTCTGAAAGCGTGTAACTGCAGAGATTTTCTCCTTCCAAGTTCACTCAATTATTAATCCCTTCATTCATATAAAATACTTTTTAATCCCCTAGAATGTCAGTCACTGGCTACACCAGTGATCAAAAAAACAAAGACAAAAACCTGCCTTCAAGAATTTTACCATCTCGGGGCGCCTGACTGGCTCAGTGGGTTAAGCAGCTGCCTTCGGCTCAGGTCATGATCTCAGGGTCCTGGGACCAAGCCCCACATTGGGCTCTCTGCTCAGCAGGGAGCCTGCTTCCTCCTCTCTCTCTGCCTGCCTCTCTGCCTGCTTGTGATCTCTCTGTCAAATAAATAAATAAAATCTAAAAAAAAAAAAAAAAAAGAATTTTACCATCTAGTGAGAGACATATGTAAATCATTCATTAAAAACTAAATCTCACATCTGGTTGTGTTTGTTCAGAATAAGTAAGCAATTTGTCTAGAACTTAGAAGAGGAAGCGATTAGGCAAAGTTAACCTGTGTTCTGAATTTCAAAGAATGTGTAGGATTTGCCTGAGGTGTTCTAGGTGGAAGAAAAAGAAGACCCAGAGGCAGATTTAGGAGTTGGGCCTGGGGATTTGGTGGTGGATAAAACTGGCTGCCCAGCAGGACAGGAGACAAAAGGCAGTTGAAAGAGTTAAGGGGACTTTGGGGTTTGTAACTTGGACATATAGATGCATGTTAATTCCATTGGCTGAGTTTTGGAAGCAGGAGGAGGGCAGGTTGGAAATGGAAGCATTATTTGAACTGCCTATGAGATATCCAGGGAGAGAAGGGCAGCCTTAGCTCAGGTGAAAGGTTAAGATTGAAATCATGAGGAAATTAGAGTATTCCCTGATGGCTGAAGCCTCAAAGGTGAATAAAATACTCTGAAGAATATTTAATGGGTAGATGGAAGAAGAGGAGTCTGAGGGGCCTGAGAACAATCAGAGAAGGAGGAGATCAAGAAAGAGAGATGGAAAAATAAGAAGAAGAAAGAAAAAAGAAGGAAGGGAGATGGGAAGGAGGAAGAGCGATTACCTGAAAACCAAGAGTTTTAATCATTTAACATTCATAGTTATTAAGACCTACTATGTGCCAGGTACTATACTACTATGCTTGGGGCTAGAGATAGAAATGAAGAAGACATATGGGGACTTATAAATGAATGGAGGATAGCATAGATATGCAAACAAATCAGTGAGAGAGAGAGAGACAGATCCATGATCCCCAGACAACAGAAGGAGTTTCCAGAAGTGCTGCAGAGCATTCCTAGAGGATTTGGACTGAAAAGAATTTATTAAATTGAAGAGCGAGGAGGTCCTTGGTACTATTGGCAAGAGAAGTCCCTATAAAAAATGGTGGCAAAGTAAGATTAAAATGGTCTGAGAAGTAAATGGAAGGTAGTAATGAAGAGTGGGTCACTAAAAACTATTTTTTATGATTTTTGTCAGTAAATGAAAAGAGACAAGGCAGTGGCTAGAGGAGGAGGGTTCAAGATTTTTCAATAACATTTAGGTACTATCTAAGATTTATTGAGAGCTTGTTATGTACCAAGCACCTTAATAGGTCCTAGAGATCCGAGCTGCAGTCCCTGTTCAATATCTTAGAGTCTAATGGAGGACGCAAATATGTAGGCAGTGGCAGTGCAATATAACACTGAGTACTATCTGTATATGATGGTGAATAGAGGCTGCCTTGGGAGCACATAATAACCTCTAACTAGGATAAGTAGGTTTATGGAAAATAAAAAATGTTATGGACATTTGCACTGATGTCTGAATAATGAGAGTGGGGGAGGAAGCAGTTTCCAGGAAGAAAGTACTGCATGTGCAAAGACTCAAAGGAAGAGAGACCACGTTGCAGGAGGAACTGAAAGTTGTTCAGTCTGGCTGCAACTTACAGTGGGGTGTTGTGACAGGGATCTATTAGGCAATCATTGACGTTTTAACACAGAGGAATGTGAAGGGGCCTAATTTGCATTTTATAAAGAGCTCCAGCTGGAGGAAGGGAGTCTAGTACTCTCTTTTTGATCCATGGTTTGATTATGAAACAACTTGTATGAATTAAAGCCTAAGCAAAAAACAGAAATCATACTCAAAGTGTTTAAATGAGGAAAGTTCAATGAAAGGACTCTACTGAGGACCGGGTGAGGGACCACACAGTCTGCTGGAAGCTGAAAGGAGGGAGGATAAATATCCTGACCTCTCTCACTTTCTGCCTTCTGATCTCCTGCTGGTACCTCCCATGATCTGAAGCCAGAGGGCAAAGGAACCTGGGAGATGCAGCCCATAGAGGATGACCTCACCCTGTACCTGGCATTAGTGGGTATTCAATAAATGCTGCTTGAGGTGTTCTGAATTTATGGACCAATCCTAAGTGTATTACCTCTGAGGTAAAACAATAAAAATGGTAGACATGAGCTAAGACTACTTGTGTCAGAGATTTGGTAGTTTTGTAGTCTCTTCTGCTATGAGAAGCAAGTATTAAAGGTCTTCAACTAAAAGGAGTAGGCAAAAGAAAAAGTAACCATACCAAACAATTAGAGAATAATTATGGAAATTAAAGTTAGGTTAAGCTACAAATAAAACTCAAACGACAGTGTCTTAAATATGTCAGAAGCTCATTTCTCTCTTAATCAAAATCATGGAGGTAAATATTCCAAAGCTAGTAGGAGAGCTCCATGGTTCTCAGGGATCTCAGCTGTTTTTCCATCATCCTTAACATGTGCTTTTCACCCTGCAGTCTAAGATGGCTGCTTGACTTCCAGCACAATTTCTCATTTCCAGCCAGCAAGAAGCTGGAAGGAAGAGAGGTATATCCCTCCCTTCAAAAACACTCCTGAAAGATGCAAACTCTACTTTTACTTAAGTTCTTTTGGTCCGTGGAATGTGAGCAGAAATAATGGCACCAATTCCAGGCCTGGCTCACAGAAACCTCCCACTCATGATCCTCCTTCTCTTCTGGTCTCTGCTGGTTGGAATTTGGTGTCAAGGGGAACTTTTGAAGTTACTTGTTGAAGATGACAGAGCCTTTAGAAGCCTGGGTCCCTGGGTGACTGTGGGCAAGAAACAAATTTTACTGTGACTTTTTGAGGTATGTTTGCCTTAATAGCCAGCATTGCCTTAATACAGAAATTGTTACAGTATAGGGTGTTGTCATGAAAATCTAAAATTAGGCAAGCAATAGACAGCAAGAAAACTATTATTAGGAGCTGGAAAATGGAAACCCATGGCAAGACATTTGGTAAAAATTTTTGAGCAGTATTTGAGAAGGCAAATAAGGTGACTACAAAGCCCATAGCTCTAGAAGAGGTTGGAAAGTGAAACATTAGTAGGTTAAATTTACTGGCTACATTTAGCAAGATACTAGAAAGATGAGATGAGCTCATGCAATAATAAGCAGATATGCAAGCATAAATGAAAAGGAATACAGAATGTACAAAAACTTTCCAATCAAGGGATTGGAAAAACTGACTGCTCCATACTTCAAAGAATAGGAAAGGATTGAAAGAGCTTTTGAGCAACAAGCCCCCATTAAAATTCAGACATGCAGCAAAGGTTAGATTTAGGGTGTGGCCTTCACATTTAAGTCCGCTAGCCCTCTGAGAGAGGGAGAAGCATAGCGGTGAAAAAGCAAAGAAATAAATTAGGGTTGAGAATTATCTCTAGGAAAGAACTTTAGTGTTACGGGCCTAAGGAACCGATCGGATGCAAATAGATCAGAAAGCTTTCAGATTTTGAGGGACCATATGGCTAAAGAAACAATTTGCTTGTATTAAAAGCTGTACTATTTACAACGAATTCTTGTTTCCCCACACCTACTTCACATATGGGCTTAGAGGAAAAGCTTTCAGAGGGTAGAGCCAGTGACCATAGAGAACAGTATTGCAGAATGTAGAAGCAAGGTTTAGCTTGGGACCTTCCCCCACTGCCAGTTCAGGGCTCTCAGGATGCCTCCAGACAGAATTGCATCTTTGCAGTGGGCCAATGTTTCCCTTTCTCTTCCTTCCCACCTGCAAGTATTTGCTGCAATACATTAGTTCCATAATTATATATTGGGTGTGGTGGGAAGATCTCTTATAACGTTATAGGTCACAGTGAGTTTCTCACCCTTGGCACTACCAACACATTGAACCAGACAATTCTTTGTTGTGGGAGGCCGTCCTGTGCATTGTACAATGTTTGGCAGCATCCCTGGCCTCTAC